GGGTGTTAAAACAGGGAATACACTCCCTTATTCTCAGGATAACCTGGTTGTTGAAACCAGTGTGGCTCAAAATGGAGACAAATAGATTGTCTTTTAATCTACTGAATAACGTTTTGCATCAAAAGTCAGGCTCCTCTTCTGATAATATTCTGAAAGACAATGATAAATTCACTGGGCTCTAATAAAGCGGTTATCCAATAAAGTCCAGTTTAATTGACATTTTTCTTGGTGATGTTAGGGGATTATGACCCTGCTGGAGCTCCAGTAAGATGGCTGTGGCATGGACACCTGAACGTGACATGTTGGACAGCACTGTTTCCTCCACAACCACTCCTCGATACACTGAGGAGAGAGAAGGCATGAGAGAGTACGTTACCATCATGGAGTCCTGGAGCACCAGCATGTAGAGGAACAAGACCATTGAGTCAAAAAGATGTCTTTGTAGTGGTTGCATCTTTTTCTCACTAATGAATGGCCTAAAACATCTCAGAGGAAGACTGGACTAACATGTCTTTCATTTCTTACAAAATCTTAAAAAGGGGGAAACCAAACTTGTTTTAAACCTATTTTAGTGACTCTGTCATTGTATGAGTGTCTGCAGTCATCTACTTGACCTCTTCAGTGTCATCCACCTTAGACAGGGCCTTCATTCTATAACCCTCCAGGGTCCATCTGTCTGTGCTGAGTTTACTTGTGACCCGTCTATGGTTGCCCAACTTTTAACCCAAGAAAAGGTTTATGTGTTGATGTTGTTGCTGGTATGTGCTACCTCTTTGTGGAAGGTGTGTGTGCACTGTAGCTCTCTGGTGCCGCCAGCGCCGTTATTTAAGTCGTTATGACAGATCAGACACACACTATAAGCATCGCTCTGGAACACACAAACAATTAAAGTCACAAAGAGCCTAAAAACACAATTTAATTTTGTCTTATAAAAATCGGGAAGTGCGTCTACACACCAGCGACATGACGTTACGTCTTCTGAACTGTCCCCGCCTCTCAGGTGGCACAACCTCGGGGATTGTGGTTATGAGAGATTGCCTGCGCTCTGAGGTGGGCACAGCGGCCTCCATAGGTGATGGAAGAAGGCGGCGGGAGGAAGAGCGACGCAACAAAACCCTCGCCGTCACCGGAGCCTGAGTGGACGAGTGGAGACGAGACAGCTGCATGGCCGACAGAGTGGACTGAAGACAAAAGATCAATTAATCAATCAAACTTGATGCAGGGAGCATAAACGTTAAATGCAATTCAAAGTAATTTACAGGCACAAAATGCTGAATACGAACTGCAAATATAGTATATAAGATCATAAAAATTAAGGAGAAAAATATGACTAATAAAGTTAAAAAGTACACATTACAGTCAATACTCACTATACAAAACTGAAGGATGATTTAAAAAACTGAAATGTCAGTGGACTGCTTATAATAAACATTTAACTCATTACTCTCTGTAAATATTTGCCTTCCTTCTTTCACACAGTTTTATTTCTTTGTTTCTAATTTTTTTCTGCCGTTAAAAAAAAGTCTTGAACAAACAAAAGACTCACTGATCCAGTTATCCCATTAACAAAAAACAAACAAACATGTACCTAAAAGCTCCATTAGCACCTCTGGGAGTCTTTACTTCCCCTATAACCAAACTGCAAGGCTGAAGCTTAGAAAACAGTAAACAAGACATTGGTTTATGGATGACAGAGTGTTCATGAGCTGTGAACACCCTGAAGACTGAAAGTATGACTGATATAAACTGATACAACTGGTTTGTAATGGTAACTGCATTAAAACGGGCACCATTTGCTCCTGATCATCCTTCACTACAATGTTATGAAAAAAGGAAAGAGCTAGATGATAAAGTCTTGAAACAAGATATCCATCAGTCTCCTACTCGCTAGCCACCTCCTCCAGGACCTCTGAGGGGGGAGCAAGGTGAATCCAAGACAACTCGAGGACAGACCATCTCCAACTTCTTTCTTCTGGTTGCAAATACCTGAATCCCCTCACCTATGAGGCGTCCAGGATGCATCATAACTAGATGTCCAAACTACCTCAACTGGCTTCTTTCAGTGTGCAGGAGTAGCAGCTCCGCTCTGATCCCCTGTCTCAAAGGGAGACCACAGCCATCAAAGGGAACTCGTATCTTCTGCTTCTATGTGAGATCTGATTCTTTTAACTCTTTTTTTAACTGCAACAGACAAATACAGTGCCACCTCACTGCAGACACTGCACCAATCTGACTGTCAATCACGTGCTCCTCTCTTCCCTGACTTGTAAACAAACCCTGATATAAACTCCTTCACTTTGGGCAGCAGCTCACACCCAATCCATAGTCGGAACTCACGGTCCCTCCAAGAGAAGGATGAAGTCACTTTGATTACTGGCAAAATGTATCTCTCTAAAAATTATTGAGATACATGATGATACATCAAGACACACGTTTCACGATATTCCAACAACATAAGTAGGGTTATCTTGCACTGGATTACAAATTTCTAGAAGTTGTTTGTGACATTAACCCAAAAAAAGCACAGACAATGTAACCACAGTTAAATTACCACACTGGTTAAAGGGCAGACATTCTTAATGCATCATCGGTTGCCATCCACTGGAATCTAAGAGCAAGCCCGGCACATTTTCAATTCCAGAGTCCAATGATGCTCTCTTCCAGTTATTTTTCTTGTGATATGTGATTGTTGTATTTTTCAGGGTAAATTATATAGTGGTGCAGAAAAGTAAATGGCTGTGTTTACCTTGTGGGATGGACATGAAAGCTCTCCATGCTTGTCTGTTGGGTTTTTCTGGTAGCAGGCTAAGGATTTGTTCAAGTTGGAGGCAAATTAGATTAATTATTAGGTTCCTGCCAGGTACTCTGATAGTAGCTCTATGGATTCTGGATACCGTCTGAATACATCAAAAAAGAGACCTCAGCTGGGAAGCTAAGGCTTAAGTAATGTTTGCCAGATATCATCCCAAGTTGTTCTTACCCAGTGTGCTCTGGGACTGCCACCAGGAGCATCAGATGCCCACACCAGTTTTCAGACTGAACTTCTTCTGGTAGCCTGAGCACTATATCTTATCTTTGAAAGCAAGACCAAAGACTGCATCAAAAAAACTCTTTGGCTCCAAGAATTTCCCAAATTCCCAAATGCCTGTGGACAAGATATTGCAATGCATGAATTCAATTCTCATTACCTTCCCCATCATGGCAAGACGGGAAGCAGGTCATGCACAAGTTAAAAGGAGCGACTGACCACTGTATCCCAATTAGACCGAGTATCCACACAGCCAGATGGCCATGACCGTCTGGACTAAATGACTCTTCCTGAATGATAAAGGAGATGAACTTTTTCTTGACCTTGAAGACAGCACTTGACAAAATGAACAAAATCTCAACAAACAACCTATTACTGTCTGCTCTTGAGCTTAGGACTGTATCACTAAGGAATGTTTCCAATTTTTAAGTATTTGAAGAACTTCTTGTGCTTAAGTTCCTGTGATTGACGACTTGTCCACAACAACATTTGAATCTTGATTATGGCTCAGCATATCAAAGAAGGCAAGCATTAATGACTACCCCTCCCTTTGACCACACACTACTGCACTTTACAGTTGGTCTGGAGTTGTACAGTTACTGGTGTTCTTACCGGACATGGCAGTGATGCTCGGCGGCCCGACTTTACCGCTGCCGGAGGCTCCGGGCTGCTTCTGCTTTTAAGTCTTCCTCCCTCTGACTCGTCATCTTCATCTTCTTCCTCTCCTACTTTACTCTGCTGTTCCCCTCCCCGGTACCGCTGCATCCAAGCGTTGAAAATCCTGGCATCTTCCTCATCATCATCCTCTTCCTCCTCATCCTCCTCCTGTTCCTTATCCTCTGCTGTTAGAGCAAATGGGTCCTCGGGGTCCGAAAATACTTCAGCTTCTTCTCTGTCAGGATCCATTACGAGGATATGTATGTTTACCCTTGTGGTGCAGAACACTACAGCAGCAACAAACAGACTGTTTCCTGATAAAACTGTGGTGTAAATCGTGAAAAAGCTACAAGCACACTTTGTTAAAAGCTACAATAAATTATTTCAATGAAGAAACAAGAAACACAGCGGCTCATTTCCAGCATTTGGCAACCAGACGGCCATAGAGGAGGCCAGCAGGAGCCGAGGAGCCTCCAAGGAACAGGCCTGACTGTTGACCTTTCTCCACCCCCCGCAGATCCATCCGAAGTCCACACAAAGTCCGGCCTCCAGCTCTTCCACATTCACTGCTGGTATTGTTTGTGTTTTCTGTATTTCGAGCGTCTCTTTGCTCTCTGTGCTGCTCTGGCCTGAAGCCTGTTAATCCAGGTACTGAAATCCAGGAGAGAGAGCAGGGAGATTACTGGACAGGCTTACAGGATCTGTGTCACTTCACTGCACCCCAGCTCTTTATTGATTAATGGTGTAATCAATCTGATAAATGTTGGAAACCAACACCAGCCCTGTGTGTTTTATTTTGGCTTAAAAAAAATTCTAATTAACAATATGATATTTTATAACAAATATTTAAGATGGAACATCCTGCACCTTTATCAATGCACTAAAATGTATTTAAATATATATTTTAAATAACTGAAAATGCCTCATATCAGTATTCATATCAGTATTTAAACATTAATTGTAATATTTATTTAAATTACCAACAATTTCAACTAATGATTTTTTTTAATTGTTAACATTTTTTCTTTAAAGTAATTATCAATATCAGATTTTGGATTTTAGTTAATTGATACAATTTTGTCCTAATCATGATTTTTGCTCTCTAACTCTTTATAGAATTAAATACAATCATATTAAATAAATAAAGTTTCTCAACTTGTTCAGGAGTGAACCTGCTGAGGAGGTAAAACGAGGATAAACTCTATTCTTAAGCACAAATAATGACCTTTAAGCCACACCTGTTCCACTCACCTGGATCACGGACGAAAATAAACCCTACTTCTGCGCACGCGTGCACCGGATGTGTTTCTTTGGCTTTTCAAAAAAGGTTCCGGTATAAAGGGGGCGGAGCCGTCGGTAGCTGTAGTGTAAACAGTTAACCGTTAGCCTCTGTAGCTAACATTTTGGAAAAGATTGGGCTTACAGTGAGTGGGTTTGCACGCGGAATGGGTATGTGCTTACTACTCTGTTCTCTTATCGGTTATTTTGGTGCTCTTTAAAAATAAATCAGGATTTTTGTCTCTTTTGATAATTACCGAGCTATAGCCAGCTAGCACCAACTTGTGCGCATGCACCCATACTAGCCAAACTCTATGCAAAAATTTTGCTTTTTAAATATGTTCTTAGTTTTTGAAACGTTAATCTTTATTGATTAGCCTCTACCAGCTGATAATAAGTCGATTGTAGCTACATTTTAATTCGGCGTATTTGTAACGCATCAAGCGTGGATTGCTTATGATAAAAGTCGTATATATCACTGATAGCAGATGGCTGCTTGTATTTTAACGGTATTTAAACTGTTAATTAGCAGCAGTTTGGCTGTCATGTAAGTCACTAATCCCTGTATTGCCAACAGTGCATTCACAATAGTAGAATAAGCTGTAATTCACCAACACACCAATCATTTAACGACCACTAATGTGACTAAAGGTAAACATGACACTCCAAGGTCTAAATAAAGCTATATTATATCAAACTGTTCCGATTTTAAACTATATATTGTAATTATTTAGATGTATTTAGTGCGGTTTTATTAAATGCATTCAGTCGATCATAAGCATTGACTTTTAAAATGCTGAGACTTTTTTTTTAACAGAGTTTGGTAGCTTCTTTTGTCAGGCAAACTCCCAAGTTACATTTTTCAAACTTCTGAATTCTCTGGTTTAATCAGAAGATCTTCAACTTCCTGAAATATTTCCACCTCATGTGTTTACTAACAGTTTGTCTGTTTATAAATTGTAATAATTATCAATATGATTAGGGTGTGGCCAAATTGGCACACCTTAATGAGCCTTTTTTTTTTTTTTTTATATGGGCACATCTCTAATTTACCTCCCCTGACAAACTAAAGTATGTTACATTCTGAGTTTCCTACATATTGTTACAGTTGCATTAAGTAAATGGTAAATGGCCTGTATTTATATAGCGCTTTACTAGTCCCTAAGGACCCCAAAGCGCTTTACATATCCAGTCATCCACCCATTCACACACACATTCAGTCACTGTAAGTAAGAATAACATTAGAGTCCTGGTTGGTGTGGGTGCAGCAGCTCCTGACACTGACCCAGATAAGTGATGCTTCCTGCTCTGACATGTCAACCTGTCCTCTCCGGCAGCTTCCCTCTCCCTCTCCTCCCTGCGTCTCCTCGTCCCGCCTCTCCGCCTGCTAACAGCGGCGATGTGGCAGGTCGCACGGCACGAAATGGTGAGGCATTATGGGATGCTGGAGGACTTTGTTTCCCTGGTGACTGAGGCCGTCCCGCAACTGCTGACGGACAGACAGAGGTGTCTGCTGCTGCTGGCTCTGAGGGCAAAGGTTGGTGTTTTGCAAGGAGAGAATGTAACACCTGAATTTGAAGGTGTCATGCACTATCCAATAGTTCCCTTTTCCCACCTGTTGTTAACACATTATGTTGGCTGGATAAGGAATAACAACTTTAAGTGTTAATTAAATCTTTACCACACCTGGTGTAAATGATGTATATGTCATGCATGCTGTACAACATCTGAGAGAGGAGCGTATAATCTGTGTGCCTGGGTATTAGTATAATAGCAACAAAGATACTGATGCAATTTTCATCTCCAAGTGACCTTCGATATTAAAAATAAATAAAGCTTCTGAACAAGTGATGAAATACAGTAAGTGTCGGAAGTCTTTATCAAGATGGTTGCATACTGGCTAGACTTTACTTAAAGGTTCCTCTTGTGCTGCAGAGTGCCTGTTCTGTAGTAGAAAACCTCCAAAGTCCTCAGAATGGTTTTATATTAACATTGATAATTCCTAGTTTCCACAGTGTTTAGAGGACGTAACAGTTACAGGAACTCAGGAAAGTTCATGCACAAGTGTTAGATAAACAATGTAAATGTAATAAATGGGGGGGTTCTCCGTGGTGTTCCTCAGGGTTCTGTTCTTGGTTCATTTGAATGTCATTTGAGTTATTTTATAGTTAGGTATATCAACAAATGTTAAAATCTAAACTTTAAACAAAATAGAGTGTGTTACTTTTCCTTTTTAACATTGAGGATAGACTTTAAAGTTCTGATGCTGGTCTATAAAGCTCTGAATGGTTTAGGACCAAAATACATCAGTGACCTCCTGACCCAGTATGAACCTTCCAGATCCCTCAGGTCATCTGGATCTGGTCTTTTATCAGTTCCCAGAGTCAGAACCAGACACGGAGAAGCTGCATTCAGCTTTTATGCTCCTTATATCTGGAACAAACTCCCAGAAAGCCTCAGATCAGCTGAAACACTCAGTTTATTTAAATCCAGGTTGAAGACTCACCTGTTCTCATCTGCATTTGAATAAAGCACCAAATCCACACTTTTAAGCTTAAACTTCAAAACTTACATTTAACTACTGATTTTATCTACTGTTCTGATTTTATCTGTTTTGATTTTATATACTGTTTTGTTTGTTTGTTTATTAATTAGTTTGTTTATTTGCTTGTTTTAATCAATTTTAAATCATGCTTTTTATTTGTTCTTGTTTCTAATGTCTCTGTAAAGCACTTTGAATCACCTTGTTGTGAATTGTGCTATACAAATAAACTTGCCTTGCCTTGCCTTGAAGGGACATGTCAGATTATGTTGTTGTTTGTTGTTGTTTTTTTTTTCTTTAGGTCACGTTGTCAGAACCAAAATCAGCTGCCATCCATTCCCACCTAGACAGGATCTACTCTGAGGCAACGGTGAGACCACAAGTAATTCAGACTATGACTGTGTCTAAAAATTATTTTTATTCAAACTGTTTCCTGTGATTTCAGTAAAGGATTCAACATGAAAAGTCACTTAACTGGAAGTAATTGATTAAATCCTTTATTTCATGACAAAATCAAAAGAAAACCATGTTAATAGTGAGTGTGTGTCTACAGCTCTTCAGCTTGTTAAATGTTTGAGCAGCACTAAATCGGGACCTTTCTCAAAAAAAAAAATGACTTGAAATTCTCTCATTTAATACCAAAAGCATCTCTTTGCTCTCTGTGCTGCTCTGGCCTGAAGCCTGTTAATCCAGCTACTGAAGCCCAGGAGAGAGAGCAGGGAGATTACTGGACAGGCTTACAGGATCTGTGTCACTTCACTGCACCCCAGCTCTTTATTGATTAATGGTGTAATCAATCTGATAAATGTTGGAAACCAACACCAGCCCTGTGTGTTTTATTTTGGCTTTAAAAAAAAAAAAATCTAATTAACAATATAATATTTTATAACAAATATTTAAGATGGAACATCCTGCACCTTTATCAGTGCACTAAAATGTATTTAAATATATGTTTTAAATAAATGAAAATGCCTCATATCAGTATTTATTTTACATTTTTTAAACATTAATTGTAATATTTATTTAAATTGCAAACAGTTTAATAATTTTTTTTAATATGTTAAAAAGCAGTGAGTCATTAATGCAGCACATTTCAATATTTCCTTCTTTAAATGAATTTCTATGACGTTTTCGTGCTTTCAGTCGTCCATATCTAAACTTTGATTTTACAATTGGTCTTCATGACATCAACCATGTCGTTGTTCTCCATTATCAGTTGAACTTCTGCTGCCTTTCATGCAGTCATGTGAGAAAATTAGGACACCCCATTAAATAATCTGCTCTTTATTAAGTAATGTTCATATAACAATGTCCAATCATGTTTTCATGTATTACTGGAAAAGAAAGTGACCTAGTTGCAATTAAACAACAACAACAAAAAATTACACATATAAAAAACAAATGTGAACAAAAATGTGTATTTTAATGGAGGACAAAGTTAGGACACCCTACCCCCTAATAACTAGTGTTGCCCCGTTTGGCTGATATAACTTCAGTGAGACGCCTTTTACCAGTCTCTGACATCGATCAAAAGCAAGTTTGGTTCACTCCTCAATGCAGAATTCTTTCAGCTGTGAGATGTTTGGGGGTTTTCTGGCATGTACAGTCTGTTTTAAGTCACCCCACGTGACATGCAACGTCATGTTGCAGTGTCCAGTTCCGCTTCAGCTTTAATGTTTTTTTACAGATGGTTTCACATGTTCTTCAAGCACCCTCTGATACACAGAATTCATGATGGATTCTATGATGGTGAGCTGGCCAGGTGCTGCTGCAGCAAAGCATCCCCAAACTACAATACTGCCACCTCCATGCTTCACAGTTGGTATGACGTTCTTTTCTTGGAAGACTGTGTTTGGTTTATGCCAAACATGTCTACTGTTCTGGTGTCTAAATGATTCAGTTTTAGACCCTTCTGTCCAAAGAATATTATTCCAGAAGTCATGGTCTTTGTCTACATTCACTCTGGCAAACTTCAGTCTGCCCTTAATGTTTCTCTTAGTGAGCAAAGGTTTCCTCCTTGCACACTTCCCATGAAAGTCAAACTTGTGTAGTCTCTTTCTGATAGTAGAGTCATCCACTTTCACGTTGACAGTAGCCAGAGCCTGCTGTAGTTCCTATGATGACATTTTTGGGATTTTTGATGACTTCTTTGGGCGTCTGCTCCGCGGGTGAATATGCTTGGACGGCCAGACCTGGGCATGGTGGCAGTTGTTTTGAATGTCCTCCACTTGTAAACAATTTTCCAGATGGTGGAATGGCTGATGTCAAATTCTTTTGAGATCTTTTTGAATCCCTTACCAGACTCATAAGCGGACACAATTTTCTTTCTGAGGGCATCAGACGGCTCTTAGATCTCACCATGGTGCTCACTTCAACACTTCAACAGTCAGGAGACCACCAAACTAAATCTGAGGTTTAAATAGGCAAGGCTCCTTTAAAATGATGGTTAAAGATTTACTGATCATGTGCACCTGACGTGATACACCTGTGTGTGATTTTAACCATTTTAAGTGGGATAACGGGTGGGGTGTCCTAATTTATTCCACACCAGAAATTGTCTTTTAAATTACATTTCACACAAAGTTTTAAAAAGGCTTTTCTTATTTTTAATTGTTTAGTTATATTATTTGGATCCCTCAGTATCATTAAAATTCATATTAAATCTCCATATGTCCAAATATATTTTAAAATATACAGGCTTTCATAGGGTGTCCTAATTTTCTCACATGACTGTATTAGCATTACCATAAGAAAACGTATGGTAATGCATACCATATACCGAGACATTATTTTAGGAAAAAATATTTAATGGTTTCTTCCTGTGCTCATTTGGCCAAGAATTAACAGCTAGAATCAACAATGGAAACAAGTCTTAGAAAATGACAAGAAATAAGCAGAAAAATGATTATTATAAAAATTATTAAGCAGAAAAATTCTTGGAGACTAATAAAAACTAGCATCATTAATGATACGACCACCCATAAAATAATAACTAGAAAAATAATAGTAACTATTGGCTGATGTCCTCAGTTGTTGCTGAAAATAAAAGTTTCTTTTTGTGTCTCGTCTGTTCTCTCAGCAGCTGGATGAAGACGTAAGCGAATGCTGGTCTGCTTTGTTGATGCTCACCGACAAATTGACAAAGAGTCCAGACAATTCTCAACGCCTCCTACAGGTCAGAGCTGCCACCTTGAATTATCAGCTTCACACAAAGCTTCATCATTCAATCCGTCCATTGTTCACCTCTGTGCTTGTCTTCCAGGAGGTGTTTGACCAGAGGTTTGACTCCGCCCTCCAGTCCCTCATATCTGACTTCCTGTCCAGGATCGAGCAGCTCTTTCCTGTTCCCGACTTCAAACAGGTGATCAGTAAAACCTTGAACAGTCAATCTAGTAATTCTGCTGTATTTCATTTTCATTTATGTGGCCATTCATCCATCTCAGGCTGCCTCCTGGTTCGATGCTGCCCCCTCTGGGCTGGAGGACTGTCTGCAGAAGGCGGACAAGGATGATCTGAGGGAGCTGCTGACCAATCAGAGCTGTTTACAGGGACAGGCACTGGCGACAGGTAAATAAGTAATCAAGAACTAATCAAATTAAATGAGAATCAGACTCAGTTTTGCTGATCTTTAATGTTTTGGCGGGGGGTTATTTCTTAGTGGGTTGTGATACAGAGGAGACCCTCCTGTCTGTGTGGTCCCACCCCCTTTTCACTAAACTGATCAATCCCAACCCTCCTCCACCTGAAACGGAGATCCAATCAGATGTGCTACCTGAGGTTAGTAGCCCCTTGCAGCTGGACGTGGAGCTGGTGAAGGTGGAGGTGGTGGTGATAACAGAGGACGAGCAGGAAGAGATCGAGGAGACTGTGATTGGTTCAGAGCTGGAGGCGTCCAATGAGAGCTCGGCAGCAGTCGGCAATGAATGTGTAGTCACACCTGTGGTTGTGGAGGTGGACAGGTGAGACCTCTTTTTTGTTTGTTTGTTTTTTAAATAATCCTGGATCCCTCAGAGTCCTCAGAGCTTGAAAATATAACCAGCTTTTGCTTGTCAGGTTGAGGGACTCATGTGGAGACATTGTCAACCAATCAGAAGACACAGGTAACACACACACACACACACACACACGTAGATATAAGCTGTGTCCCAATTCCTAGGCCACATCCTTTGGCAGCCACATTTGTAGGCCGTTTACATCACAGCCAGACTTGAAAGTTGGGTCGGGTGTATCATTCGTAGCCCAACCTATCCCAGAATTCATAGCGCGGCCCAGCCAATTCCCATTTCCAACAATGGCGGCAGCTACTTAGTTTTAATATGACTCTTTCTGGGTCACAAAATAAACTTTTAAGATATTTTCAGGTGAGAATGTAGCTGTGTAAACTTCAAATATTTGCTTGGTTTATCGAGACATCACATATTTGCACATATACTCTGACGTTTTCTGAGACGTCTGTTACCCACCAGCTCGATAGCTGACCGGGAGGTCAAGGCTCACTAGAGCCGGTGAGAACAGTGGACTCCGGCACATTGTTTCTAGACCCTGCACGGTCTTTCGCTACTCGGGTTAAACATGATATATAAGTTATTAAATAACTTTAAAAAGTTATTGTTTGGCTTTTTTCAGTATTTTATTTGTTCCTGAGTAAATCGGTTTGGCTGACATTAGTTGAGTTTTCACACAGCTGAATAAATGTCAAACAGAAAACTGATTAAACAGAAGCGTGAGATGGTCGAGAATGTCCTGTTATAATTTAGATAGCAAGGAGTTTATTGAACTCCACTGAGAAAGCTGGTGACGCAAATCTGAAGGCTAGACCGTCCTATTTCACAGGACCCGGCCCACGTAGACCACAAAGGCCGGGTCCTTCAAAGGATGCGGCCTAAGAATTGTGACAAAGCTATAGAAACTGAACTAGTCATTAAAGCTTCCTGTCTTTCTTCAATCAGATCTCTCCTGCTCAGAGGTCACAGCTAATGCTCTGCACAGCATTTCCCACAATTCCCAGCGTGTGGCTCACAAGTGTCCTCAGTGTGGCAAATGTTTCATCTACCGCTCACAGGTACTGTGTCAGTGTCTCAGTGTGGCATGACAGTAACTATATGGTCACTTTTTTGTCTGTTTGAACAAAAAAAGTATCTTAAAATAAATCAATAAGACCACACATAAAAATGAAAACACATTTATTTATTTTAAAAATATACATCATATATACATCACTCCCTTAGATGTTTGTCTGACTGTCTGCAGGTGATCCGACACCTACGCACTAACAGGTCCTGCGGTTCGGCCTTAACGACATCCGTGCTCGAACAGACTCAACTTGGCGGCGCTGACAAAGAGCCCTGCCTCCCTCAGAATAGGCCCCCTCCCCGACCCGTCAGGTCTCTGTCCTGCTTCCAGTGCAACGCCATGTTCAAGACCAAAGCCGAGCTGCTGTCGCACCAGCGCACACACCGGGCCCGCCCCATCTACCACTGCGTCCAGTGCGACAAGGAGTTCCACCATCTATCCAGCCTGACCAATCACAAGCAGACACACCTGGACAAGGGAGGTTTCACCTGCAGCCGGTGTAACAAGGTGTTCGAGTCGGCCAAGGACAGGGACGTCCATCGGCTGCAGCACCGGCTGCCCGACCTCACCTGCACGATGTGTGATCAGACGTTCAGCTCACAGACGCGGCTGCTGCGACACCTGCAGACGCACTCGGTGGAGGGGGCGAAGCTCCGCTACAACTGCCGCTTCTGTGACCAGACCTTCTCAGGTAGACCACTGAAAGCGGTGAACCCCACTAACTCAGAGCACTTTCCACAGGCTCATTGACCTCTGCAGCTTAGCAGCAGATCTGGTTTTAAAAGCTCAGCGAGGCGTCTGTGTGTGTTTGACTCACTCGGTGAGCAGCAAACAGCAGGTTCACATCAAGTTCATCTGAGTCAGCCCTGTGTTAAAGATGTTTCTGGGAAAAAGGATGACGGTGGAACAAAACATTGCTGTTGAGCTGCTGCTCTAAAACAGTCAAGAGTCTGATGCTTTCATTATTTTCCTTTATAATTATTTTCCATTTCAGAGCTACAACACAATGTTAAAAAACGAAAAGCCTCCAACAACCGTCATCATCTGAAAATTTCTTTTCCAAGAAAGAATAATTATTTTTCATCCTATTAACCCTGAAGCGACAAAAATACTTGGCGAAATAATCGAGCGCTATACTTTTTATTTTTTTACTTTTCCTCAGACCTGCTCAGGTTTTGCAGTCACATGATTGTTAACCATGTACTGTTAACCTGCCCGCTGTTTTCTTCCCTCCCCTGGTAACCACTGTGTGCTAGGGAAAAAACATGAAGACCGTCTCAAAGAGGTATTACACAGCGAGTCGTCAGTGTTTGGGTCACTAGCACTTTGCTGCCAGCTGCTGTAAAACAAACACGTGAACAGAGCCTATAGAGAATTTGTAGAGCTCATCTTGGGAAAGTAAAACATTTTCAGATCATAATTCACATTGTAAAAGCAGCTGCAGGATTTAGGAAAGGGTTTCATTACATCCAGTGTGGTGGCAGCTCTCGATGCACATCTGATTTTTACGCAAAAAGCAAACAACACAAGCTTAATGAACAAAATGGCATTTATACTCACTGTCATTTTATTAGATACACCTTATCAGTCCAGTCCTTGTTTCTTATTTCTGTGTTGCGCAGATTGAACAGAGGTGATGAAAACATTCCTTGGAGATCCTGATCCATACTGGCACACATCCATGATGTGAGTCTCCTTTTCCAAGAGGACGTTAAACATGTGTTTAAATGTTTGTGTCTCCAGGGGTGACCCAGCTTCGTATCCACCAGCGCACACACACCTTCCGCACGTACCAGTGCGACCTGTGCAGCAAGACGTACGGCTCGCTCACCGGCCTGCAGTCCCACCGGGCGACCCACACCGCTGAGAGCCGCTTCCTGTGCTCGCAGTGCGGCAAGCGCTTCAAGACCCGCGATGGCCTGGAGGGCCACCTGAGGACACACACTGGGGAGCGGCCCTACCGCTGCCCCTACTGCTCCAAAGACTTCACCGCGCTCGCTGGCCTCAACGTGCACGTGCGGCGGCACACCGGGGAGCGGCCGTACGTGTGCACGGTGTGCGGTAAAGGCTGGCCGTCCGGCGGTGACCTGCAGAAACACATGAGGACGCACACGGGCGAGCGGCCCTATGTCTGCCAGGACTGCGGGAAGGCCTTCTCCATTTCCTGTCACCTGACTGAACACCGGAGGATACACACAGGTAAGACAGGAAGCTGGTCACATGATCACGGTACACAAAGATATGCTGTCGTAACTCCAGATGCTTTTGTGCCGGTTCTGAACCCGAGCGCCTCTCGGTCTGTTTTCCAGGAGAGAAGCCGTTCTCGTGTCCGGAGTGCGGGAAATGTTTACGGAGGAAGTTTGACCTGAAGAAACACATGTTGTCCCACAGCAACATCCGTCCCTACGCCTGCACCTTCTGCACCAAGAGCTACACCCGAAAAACTCACCTGAACAGACACCTGCTCACACACCGGACTGCCGACAGCGAGGTGGTGGCGGTGCAGGTGGTCGAGGAACCCTGAGGATGTGCTTAAATCAGAACTGTGCGCGTTGTACGACTTTCATGCGTTCATTCCTGCAGTGAGTGAATCGATCGCAGATTCCCGAGTCTGAGTCGACTTGTGGTGATGCAGTTTGAGGTGGGAGCAGGTGATCTGCGTGGATCTGATTTACAGGCAAAACTAACAGCTGGAAACAACAGGAAGCAGTTCTGCAACTTCAGCTGATGAAGCGAGTTTGATCATTCATTCACGAATCAAAAAAACTTTATTTTGAATGTTTATGAATATTTTATTTGTATTTTTTTAATACTTAAAACATATTTTACTGATGTGTTTTTATTGACATGCTCTCATTTACGTTTTTCTTACATTCAAACATTTTTGTTTTACTATAAATGGAAAAAATCTTCCAATGTATGAAAAATGTAAATGACAACACAATCGACTGCTCACCTGAATACACAAGGTCAAAAATCAATTAAAGTTGAAAACACATAAGTATTATTTCATAAAAGTATTAATTAATTATTAAAAAACAGTAATTAGGTAATCATGCTCAAGATTTATAGAAATAATAATAAATAAATACTAATTAATAACAATGAGCATAATAAATATTTTACATGACGTTTATTTTTAATATTTTGTGAATGACATGAAATATAAAAGTAAATGTTTCACTCTTAAGTCTCGACTAAGTTAGCAAAAATGTCAGTAATGTATAAATAAATAATGGAGTATAATTTTTTTTAAATGTTTAAAAAGGTAAATATAAAACATGGAACATAGTAAATTTTTTACATTGCAGGTAAAAACTTGATTCATTCAAATTCAGTAAATTTTCTGGTCTCTCATTTGTATTGAAACTACATTTCACTCAGTTTCCAGCTGTTGGTCAAAAAACGTCAGATTTTTCTAAAGTTTTACAAAGAAAATTCAAATATTTGCCGCTCAGTTCACAGCTGCATCACCGCAAGCTTTACTGATGAGCAGCGGAGCTGAATACGCTGTCCTGTTAGTGGAGTAAGTCCAGGGTCCGTTGCTTCAGTTGCTGTTGGTAGTAAATATAATGAATGACTGTTTTCTTGTACAGTGACACGTTACATTACTACATCACTAATCTGTTAGTTTCACATTGGTGGGAAGCGCTTACACTAATAGGATAATAAAAGGCCATTTTTTTTCATGATTTTGACTTAAAAAGATGTTAAATTCTTATTTTTGGTGATCTTAAACGTGACCCGGTGAACATTGCAGACCCCGAGGTCGACTGGAGCACGTTAATGTTTACTCTGCTGTTAAACAAAGTGTTTAATCAATTTGTGTCACTGACTCTGTTTACATGTACAAAAATTGTTCCAGCCTTTGTCCTTAATCTGAAATATACACCAAACTACAAACCTCTTTGTCTATCTGTAGTTGGTATTATTATGTGGTGTAACAAGATCAACCCAAACAAGTTTTTAAAGTTTTAAGCTGTCTGAACTCAGCCTTCATTTATCAGTCCTCCAACAGTCTTCTTGGTAAGTTCAGTTTTTCATATTTATACAAAAAAATCATCTGTTCTGTATTGTGCTATAACTAGTTGAGCACAGCAAGGAACGGGGCTCCACCTTGTGGCACTTTTCAGCAATTGTGCTCTACTTTGTTAAATTATAAAGAATGGAGATCACTAAATCGGGGAAATTAAACAACCAAAATCTTGTCTTCTCACCCAAAACACTTAGCCTCTAAGGCAGGAATACACACACAATCTGAAACACCAAATCTGAGTCAGATTTTAACTACCATCATCTTGGACTGCAGCTTGCGATGCAGGTTCGTGAAGAGCTTCTCCACCTCTGTCAGGCTCTGATCTTCAACTGCATTCCCAGATGTTGGAGTTTTAGTCCATCCAGCTGCAGACTAAGGAGAGCTTTTGGCCTTTATTTGGCAAATGTTGGAAGGAAACACAAGCTTATCACTCTACCTCTTAGAGTTCGTTAATAGTTAATAGCCCACTGGTGCTCAGGAAAAGTTGAGCTCATCTCTGGGCTTGGCTTTGGTGGTTAGTTTGTATCACTGCTGTAACTGTAATGCTTTAAACTGAACTTTGGTTAACAGATCTAGAGTAGCACTGCTGGAGAAACTTGTTGAAGTCAAAGAGATCATGAAAATGGCTCAACAGATGAAGATGATTCAGGAGTAAACAAACATAATGAGAACACTTTAGAGCCTCTGTCATGTATGAATAAACAGTAAAGGGATGTACAGTGCAGCTATAACCTCTGTTTATGTTAACAATCTGTTGACTGCTTGCTACAAACCTCTGGAAAAATTCCCAGAGAACTCCTAAGATCACGTTGGCTTTTTGGTTATTAAATGGTCAGAATGGGAAATTCATAGAGTTGTGCTCAGTTTACACAGCGTCATTGCCTTAATAAATTACAGTATAAGTAGACCTGTTCAACTTACATTTATAGTCAACACATTAAGATCCATTTTGAGCAGGGAAATCCTGCCCAACCTGAAAATTATCAACACATCCCACATGTGTTATGTCTGTGTAGTAAATCCTGGTTTAGGATATGTTGTTTATCAGAATAGTAATGGACTATGAGGCCATGCCTGCCACTGTAGTGACTGCTGTGACCTTAAATGTAAAGATGGCTGTTTGTGCTGTCTTGTTTGTATCTGAGCGCGAACTTTGACCTCCTGCCGGTTTGATTTTCTATCTTTGTTCATATAAAAGCTGCTCTGATGGGACTTTAACTCTCTGACTCTTATTGCTGCAAACCAAGGCTTGATTAACACCAGAGGCCAGGGTACAATACGTCGACAATCTTTATTGGGGCCATGTTGCTTAACAGGGTTGAATGTGAAGTGATTGACGTCGATGGTTTGTGTCTACTCATCATCGCTTCCTCCCATCTTTTCAATAACTTTGCCTATCCACTTGGTCATCCTGAACAGGTGAGTGTAGAAGCCGTACTTCCCGTCACGATCGCAGCCCTCTCCCCATGACACGATGCCGATCTGATACCAGCGGTTCTCTGCCGGGTACTGCACAGGAAGACAGTTTCAAAATAAGAGTCATTGTTTGCAAAGGCAACTATTCTAAATTCTCAGATTGAACCTTTTGTAAATGATAGAAAAAATCTTTTCAGAGCCGAAAGAACGAAAAACTATAAATATTTTAACTCCTTTTTTTCAGTTTTTAAGCAAAAATGCCAAATAACACTTAACTGTGAGTACGTATTGCTTTACTCTATATTGTAAGAAAATAAATGAAGATTTAGGCTGCCAATTAGGCATATCTGAAGATTACATAGTTATTCAACTTCTTGTTACTATCCCCCCTGTCTAGAGTTTGCAAAAAACCCTGCTTTTTAATATGTTGTTGTTATGAGAAGTATCTTCAAATCTGCCTTTAAGTTTTAAATTCAACTTTGGGCATTAAAATTGATGAAGTTTTGGGCCGATGTTGACGAAACGGTTTGGGAACCCTATGTTTAAAGATCCTGCCAGAAAAAAGGCCATTCCAAAGAAAAACACAAGTATTTTTCATATGGGACTAAACGGCTGTGTAGCTTTAAGAAATTTGCCCAATATGTCTCACTAACTGGGAATCCTCACTAGTGAATATTGAGTTTCAGTTCCTACCTTTTGGATGAAGGTTTCTGGTGCCAAAGTGCCCAATGGGTATTTGGTAGGTGACCTGAACGTGAACTGCATAACGTTACTGAAACAATGCCAGAGAGAATGTGGGCCGTCATCGAAGCTAAAGACAATCCAGTGAAATATTGGTGTATGATTGTGCAGTGTATATGTTTTAACACTATGTTAAAGTGCTGTGTGGCACTTTTCAAAACCTAGTGATTTTAAAGACCACAAAAATAATTTATAATCAACTACATGAAAAAAAATACGGAGTTAAAGCGATAAATAAAATCACATAATAAATCCTGAACAAACTGTGTGAATCAAATCATCATTGGTGTCCCAGAGAACACACATTTTTCCCTAAAAACCTTTGACATGGAGTTAAACTGGTCTCTAGGCCTGTGTGACTCTGAATTTAGTTGGAGAAAGCATGGCTGTATGACTTTGGCACAGGTCAAACGAAGCATTGGTAATTCCTAATAAAAACATTTTGCATTTTCAGTAATTTTATATATTTGGGTTGTGATAAAACATATTAAAGCCATAAAATACTGTTAAAATACTATTAATGTCCAGATAGATTTTCAGGAAATGTTTAACATTTTTAACGTGTCAGGAACAAAAGTCTAATTACATTGTTCGTCTTGATGATTGAGAATGCATCAAGACGAGGAGTCAAGGAGGCCATTTACGTGAAAAGGGAAAGAGGGGGCCTAAGGGTACATCTTTCACCATCTTACAATGCTGTGATTGCAGCCATTCCCCAACTCTCTGTGAATGGTACTCATGGCCATTGATCAGTGGGTTTTGGTCAGTGGTTATTGATCAATGATCATGAGAATTTGCATAATTAAGATTAAGGAACTGACCTCCCAGCTCATTGTTCCTTCAGTGGGCTGGTTTCAGTCATTATGCAAATGTACTGTTTATAGGTTTGGGGAAACCTGCAGTCAGCTGAGACTGAAGAAGTCACTTGGATGAGTGACGAAACGTTTCTCCCACAAAATGCTACGTCCAGATGACCAGAATCAACTTTTTGGATAATTACACTGTTGTTCAACTTATAAACAAGAAAGCATTAATTTTGGATATAAATGTTAATTTGATTCTATATGTAACAGTTAACACACTGTGTGCATATTTTATTACTATGCGTTAATTAAAACAATGTCCTAAATTTTTAGCAGATTAAATTAATGTATATGTGTGATATTTACATTAAATGTTACAAAGCACTGAACAGAACATATGAAAATCTGTTTAAGTGTTAATACACTGTGTTTTACAGTGCTACTGTATCCTTCTGCAACTGTCTTACACTGCCTTCACTTCTGTGTGTTCTCGTGCCGTCGGTCTTATAATTTATTTAACAAATATTTTATTAAACAGCTGCTTGAGATATAAACCAGATGTTATCTAATGATAAGAAATGGTAAAGAGGAGACTTAATCTATCATTTGTTCTTCTTTCATTGTGATTCTCACCTTCATCACAAAAGGTCCACCGCCGTCTCCCTCACAGGCGTCTCCACGATGGTTATCGTCTGGTTTATAACCTGAAACAACCAGAGACTGTAATTATAGAGAAACTTTGACACCTTCAGGAGATGCAGGATCATCCTGAGAGAAACAGCCAAATTCGATTCAGTACAGC